TCAACGAACGATAGAGAGAGATATATGTAGATATAGAAGAGAAAAGAGAAAGAGACAGAAAGAGAGAGAGAGAGAGAGAGAGAGAGAAAAAGAGATAGGCAGACAGACAGTGAAACATCAGTCGCTGGTGGGTGGAAAGGAGAGGAATCCACTCCGATGGGTGGTTATCTGGGTGGGTCGGGGCTTATTTGTTTGTTTGCATGTAAATTGCAATGTGCCGTCGCTGTATCCCACCCCCCATTCCCTATATTTTGCACTCTTCACTTCAATTTTTTGTATACCCTTAAAAAGGGTTGTATAATCATGGTCATATGTCTGTAGCTCAAGGAATGGAGTCCCCAATAGGTTTTCTATTAGGGATTTCCCTCAGAAATACCCAGAATCGATGCGATATGTCCCTTGGAATGTCCGTATAATATATTATTTTTTTCACCCGGCACCCATTGTACCGAGTAAATTGATAAATATATAACATTGGTGAATATATATGTATTTAACAGCTCGAAAGAAGCGTTTTTGACTTATTTTGACATCTTGATGTCGCGGCACTTGTGGCTTTCTTTTTATGGATGTATGTATGTGGGTATCATTGGACCAGTATAAGCTATAGCTAAAGATTATCGGCCGAAATGCGCAAAATTGCGAGAGAATCTAACTTGTTTCTACACTTTCTTTTCAAAATATCCGCTCTCGGAGATAATTTATGGGTATACATTGTCCATTGTTGATTTTGCTGTTAAGATATTCCGTCCAAAGTGTATAAATTATAGTAATACCTTTTTACATAAAAACAGAATTTGAAATACAATTTCTTAACGGACTTAACGGCAATAAAGCAAAGAGGGTATCTGCACTTCGCTGAACCGCTAGCATATTTCGTGGATTTTTAGATTTTAAACTTTGTTTCTTGTCTTTTTGTTAAATGTTTGCCGTTGTTCCCGGCCCGGCCCCTGAAACGTTCCTCCTCCGTTGTGATTGTCATTTGCTTTTAGCAGCACCACCCTCCCATTATGAGTGGTTGTGGTTGAACGTTTCAAGCTCCCTGCTCGTCCAACCGTCCGTCATCCATACATCCATCCATCCATCCATCCATCAAGGACAATCAACGCAGCCGTTTTTTCTGGTCTTGATTTTGGGCTGGCTTTTTTTCACTTCCTCTTTTTTTTTTAATTTCCTAATTTTTCTCTTTTGTACGTAGCTTTGGCTAATGAATTAGTCTTTACATGAATTTGAAACATTTTTATACCCGATACTCAAAATGAGTATTGGGGTATATTAGATTTGTGGTGAAAATGGATGTGTGTAACGTCCAGAAGGAATCGTTTCCGACCCCATAAAGTATATATATTCTTGATCAGCATCAATAGCCGAGTCAATTGAGCCATGTCTGTCTGTCCGTCCGTCCGTCTGTCCGTCTGTCCGTCTGTCCGTCCCCTTCAGCGCCTAATGCTCAAAGACTATAAGAGCTAGAGCAACGATGTTTTGGATCCAGACTTCTGTGATATGTCACTGCTCCAAAAATATTTCAAAACTTTGCCCCGCCCACTTCCGCCCCCACAAAGGGCGAAAATCTGTGGCATCCACAATTTCGACGATACGAGAAAACTAAAATCGCAGAATCGTAGAAGATGACTATATCTTCTAGAGTGCAAAATCTGAACCAGATCGTATAATTATTACAGCCAGAATCACGAAAACAATTTCACTCTTTCTCGCTCTGTCTCACTCTAACACACAGGTTTCATGGTCGGTTTTGCCAATTGCAAAATATGAGTTCAAGGATCTCAGAACCTATAAGAGCCAGAGCAACCAAATTTGGTATCCACACTCCTGTGATATCGGACCTTGACCGTTTCATGTCCAAATTTCGCCACACCCCCTTCCGCCCCCGCAAAGGACGAAAATCTGAGGCAACCACAAATCTCAGAGACTATTAAGGCTAGAGTAACCAAATTTGGTGCACACACTCCTTTAAGATGTCACTATAAAACGTATATCTCAGAATTTCGCCCCACCCCCTTCCGCACCACAAAGGACGAAAATCTGTTGCATCCACAATATTGCAGATTCGAGAAAACTAAAAACGCAGAATCATAGATAGCGACCATATCTATTAGATTGCTGAATCTGGATCAGATCAGATCATTTTTATAGCGAAAGGAAACAAATCAATTTGCACTGGCTACGCAGCGCCCGACGTCACGCTCAGACTGATTTTCTGTCTCTCTCGCACGCACTCTTTGTCGTGTCGATTAATATAAGCGGCGTCTGCCGGAGGAGAGCCATACTGACTTAGTATCGGGTATAACTGTAGAGTTGCGGTGTCCGCAGCAACTCACAACGTTCCCCCTCGTTCTATATGGTTTTTGGGATTAATTAAATAAGGATTGTTGATAGTTTTGCTTAGGTTTGGGAAAACCCAGGGAAAAGCGAGGATCGGGGTCACCAAAGGAAGTTCATTAAGTGCCGCCTAGTAGTTCACCCTTGAATATAAATATTGAATATTATTTTGTTGTGTTCCGATGATTTGGTGAACTGATTTTAGAATCATCCAAAAGCAAAAAGCATTTCGACTTCCATTGCATATTACGGACACTTTGTTGGAGCTGTAAACCTAGCCGTGTGCCTTCACAATGGGGACATATTTGAGCAGCTTAAGTGCCGCTGGCGTCGGATTTGCCAAATATCCGTCAGGCATAGAGACGGACACACATACACTCAGATGCAGATGGGGATGAGCTGTGAGCTGCAGAAGGAGCACTCTCAGAACCAGGACCAGGATCCATTTCCATGCACTCACGCAGACTGTAATCGCTTTACGTGCGCTTTGTTGGCAATTGTCAAGTGGATTTGGATGGGCTGGGATATATGCTCGAATGGGGATGGAGACAGGAACATCATTGACGCCACATGTTGCCGGCGACAGATGCGTTGGATTGCAAATTGTCCCAGGTATGGCGGGGCTTGACTGAAGGGGGTTTCTGTTCTGTTCTGTTGTCTGCTTTTATTCAGTTTTTCACTTTATTGAGACAGCTGCTGCTGTGGAGTCGCTGAGGAGAGTCTGTGTGTCTTTCTGTCAGTCAGTCAGTCAATTTGCTGCTTGGATTTGAGATTTGTCTGATTTTGCACTTGAATCGTTGGGATGGTTGGGGAATGGTTGTTCTGAATTCCGTAATAGATTTCTACTACCAAATGCGGCAAGCACCAGGCAAACAATCGAGCAAATAAACAAACACTTGCGACAAAATTCCATGCATGTCAATTACGCAAATGAGAAACTGTGCAAAAGCAATTTCGAACTGAATCCATGTCTGTAATGAAACGATGTCTTGGCCATTTGTTCTGCCAGATTGTTTGTGCTATTTGAATTTTGATTTGGAGGCTTCTATAGATATGGAAGCAAAGCATCCATCCCCCTTGGCCCATACCACGCCCAGAACTTTGGCTCCGACCAATGGCAGCAAGACGCTTAAGCGCCAGTTTCGTGCTTTAGTAGTTCGTTTCCTTTCGTTAGTTTTACTCCACCCCCAATCTCGGATAGGCAAAAAAAAGGTAAAGGAAAGAAAAGAAAAGAAAACAAAAGAAAACAGAAAGGAAAGAAGGTGGTATGTGGGAACTGATTCTAATTATATGTACATTTTTCAGAGCTACCAATACTCTTAGGAAACTACAGCTCCATGAGTGTTTAGAAATATCATCAGAAACCACAGGCATTATTTAACAAAAGATTTGCTTTTCTATAAATAGCTCCGATTTTCTGATATACTGATTTACAACTCCTCTCTGTCTAGGACATCAAAAAGACTAAAAGTTTGTCCGCCTTTGAGTAATTTTGGCAGTCTGGATCATCTATAAGATGACTACAAGAGCTTTAGCAAAATCAGGCTTAACTTTAGATTTTCACCCACTCAAAACGAGCAAACAATTCATTTGAGATGTACATATATAAATACTCATAATATGTTCTATATCTTTTAGAGGGCAAGAAAATTCAGTTTCCCGTGCAATATCCAGACATGAATGTCACGTTTGAATTGCAATTCGAATTGATAGTGTGCCGGGATTACACCGGTGTTGATCGCAATGCAGCCTTGCGATTTCACCTCAGGCTCGTGGCGACATGGTTTGGATAATTATGTGTTCAGGTATGAATAGATAGATATGAATACTAGCCTAGCTGGCTAGTAATATCAAATCGAATATTAAAATCGAGGAATATCGCTTCCAATCATTAACGGGGGACGATTAACCCATTGTACACCAAGGCGGGTACTTTAATATTCCACCGAAAATAATGAAAATTTAATAATTTTAGCACAGTTCAGGTGAAAGCTATCATGTTTTTTTTAAGTTCAGAGGAAAGATGGCATGGATCTACAAGAAGAACTTACAGTCAGTAATATTTTCCATCATATACCTCAAGTTGTTGAACTGTTTAAATAAAGGGGGCTTAAGTGGGCTAAGTTCGTTTTTGTCCTCGGTATATTTTTCCTATATTTCTTAGGGTCAGACCGTATATTTAATGATAAAACGAATACTAATTCGTTATCAGCATCGATCGTTTGCCATCAAAATCTTGAGATTTTATCAAAAATTTGGGAAAAAAGGCATTTTAAAAAGTGGATAACAGCGGTTTTTTCCACTGGTGCTTCAATGGGGCTTATATGAAATAAAAATGGGCACAAATTTTTGAAGCGTACATACTTATTTCTCTTTCAGGTGTCGTTCAGATATAGCAAATGTGCTTCATTATTTTAAAAGCAATGCAATAAAGATGAAAACTTAAATTAAATCAGTCGTGTAGGAAATTGATTTAATTATCGGATAAAATTATGAGTTCAGAACTGGGGATCTTAGTTAGCTGGTAATATGCAACCGAATATCAAAAACGAGAAATATGACGGAACTTGAATACAAATAATTCTTCAGTATATTTACGGTATATTTGTGAGGGTCAGACCGTATATTTGATTAATAAATCCGCGGTCCCATTCCACCCACTATAAGGCCGGCTGTAAATGTTTCAGAAACTGGAAATATTAGCGCGATTTTAGCGAGGTCCAATCGCATAAAAGATACTCGCCTTTGGTCCACAAGTTTGTGTTTCCATGAAGCTGCTAAAACCCGCATGGGTCCATCACGATGGTGAGTGAGGGAGTGAGGAGGCCCGCCATTTAGCCGAGACTGCTGCAGCAAGTCCTTTTCCTTTCCTTTCTTTTGTGTGTTGCAGAAAAGCAAATATTCTCGGTGGATATCCATCAGGACTGTACAAAGTTCGCCACCGGCGGGCAGGGCAACGATTGTGGTCGAGTGGTTATCTGGAATCTAAAGCCGGTGCTCAGTGAGAAGGATGAGTTCGATGAGACAATACCGAAGATGCTATGCCAGATGGACCAGCACCTGGCGTGCGTCAACTGTGTGCGATGGTCACAGAACGGGGTGTACCTGGCCTCTGGCTCCGACGATAAGCTGATCATGATTTGGCGCAAAATCACTGGATCCAGCGGTGTGTTCGGCACCGGGGGCATGCAGAAGAACCACGAGTCGTGGAAGTGCTTCCACACGCTGCGCGGCCATGCTGGCGACGTCCTGGACCTGGCCTGGTCCCCCAATGACATCTATTTGGCCAGTTGTAGCATCGACAACACTGTCATCATCTGGGATGCCCAGGCCTTTCCCTCGATGGTGACCACGCTGAAGGGCCACACGGGTCTGGTAAAGGGGGTGTCTTGGGATCCAGTTGGAAGGTTTCTTGCCTCACAGTCCGACGATCACAGCATCAAAATGTGGAATACCATGGACTGGACGCTCTCGGAGACCATCACTGAGCCGTTCGAGGAGTGCGGCGGCACGACGCATATTCTGCGCCTCTCCTGGTCGCCGGATGGCCAATATCTGGTCTCGGCCCATGCCATGAACGGTGGCGTACCCACCGCACAGATCATAGAGCGCGAGGGCTGGCGGTGTGACAAGGATTTTGTGGGGCATCGCAAGGCCGTTACCTGTGTACGCTTCCACAACTCTGTGCTGATCCGGCCGATGTCCGATGGCCTCAAGCAGCGGCAGTACTGCTGCCTGGCCGTCGGCTCCAGGGATCGTTCCCTCTCCGTCTGGATGACTGCTCTGCAGCGGCCGCTGGTTCTCATCCACGAACTGTTCGAGGACAGCATCCTAGACCTATCCTGGGGACCCGACCAGTGCCTGCTGATGGCCTGCAGCGGCGACGGTACGGTGGCTTGCCTGCAGTTCACCGACGAAGAGCTTGGCCAAAGGCTCTCAGCGGAGAAGATGGACGCGCTGTTCATGAAGCGGTATGGCGAAATGTATGGCGCCGGTCTAGGCTTCGGCAACAAGACGATTGTGGAGATATCCGATCAGAGTTGTAAATACCAGTCAGAGTCGTCGGCCATGCAAACGGCGCCGCTGAACTTCCCCCTGCCCAATGCCGCCCTGGAGCGACGAACGGCCTCCACCGCTCAGCGACCCATCAGCAAGCAGACCGAGACACGGACAAAGGATGGCAAGCGAAGGATTACGCCCATGTTCATACCGCTAAACGAGGAAGAACGGGCACCAGCAATCGCCTCCAGCAGTGGAGCGCCCACAGCAGCTGCAGCAGCAACAGCAGCGGCAGCGATAGAGGGACCGCATGCCACTACGCCCACGGAGTGCGCCGTCACGCCACGAATGCCCGAAGCGCTTGTGTCGGCGGGACGCAAGACGACGCCGTCGCATCGCCGCCAATCGATGCCCTTCGATCCCAGTCAGCAGGCGGAGTTTCCACGCTCGCCCAAGACCCCGGACGAGCATCAAGGGACAACGATGGGTCCGAAACTCAATATCACTGCCACGGCCAAGAGTGAGTTCGTGAAGACTGCCCTCGATTATAGGCTGCTCGTGCAGAATGGGCACCTGAAGACGAGTCACGGGATGCTGGCCAAGGTGACGGCCAGCATCGACGGGGAGTTCCTCTGGGAGTTCTATGTGGGCTCGCCGGTGGTGAATGTGAATCTCTGCGCCAAGTATTGCATGCTCTGCTCCCTGGACGGCAGCATGCGTCTGATATCGATGGAAACGGGTTGCCACGTCTTCCCAGCCATTGCCCTCTCCAGCTCGGCTGTACATTGCGCCTTTGTGAGTATTATAGAGTGACGATCACGCTCCATCCGTAGCGAACGCGGGCTTAAGCTAAACCTTTACGATCCCGACAGAGTCCCGACAACAGTCTGGTGGGAGTGCTCACCGAATGCGGCCTGTTGCGCATCTGGAATATTGCGGGGGCGACCATTAGCTTGGCCGCCGGCTGCAAGGAGCTGCTCATCAAGCACGGAGCGGTCGTCCAGTTCTCGGTGACGGACCAGGGAATGCCACTGATTGGCTTCCCCAACGGCAACTCGTACTCGTACTCGACCAGCCTCGAGTCGTGGCTGGTGCTGGCCACCAAGGATGCGATCATGTACCATGGCATCAGGGGCACTCTGCCCCGCGATGAGGATCTAGTGGCGCGGAAATTTCCGCTGCTCAGCATGCAGGCCAGTAGCCAGAACTACTTTGTGCTTGGCAGCGGCATGGAACTGTAAGGCATTCTCCAATCAGCCTCCGCCATCCATCACACTCCATTGGTAAATGTCTCCCTTCCTCTTTCAGGAGAAAACTGGAGAGCTGGCAGCAGACGGCGAAAATCCTGTTCATCGACAATCAGATCAAATTGTGCGAGGCCCTGCAATCGACGGATGAGCTGAAGCACTGGCACACGATGCAGGCCCTCCAGTTGTCCGCCTATGGATCGGAGAAGCGTCTGCGCACGTTCCTCGATGAGCTGCTCTCGAATTCGGACACGGGCATAGCAACGGTAGGGAGTTCACCTCGACATTCCCCTACCCACAATCTTCTTACCTTCCGTCTCGCTCTAGTTCGCGTCGAAGCATGAGCTGGCTCAGTGCGTGCTGGACACGTTGAAGTCGCACGGACAGTGGAGGCGCTTGCATACCGAGTACACGGAGCTCTTGAAGTTCAGTCGGAATCAGCGCATTGAGGATATCTTTGCCACGCCCGCACCGCCACAGCCGCGATCGGCATCACCTAGCCCGCCACATCCGCCGCAAACGGTGTCCCCCAGTCCGCCCCGAGTGCCCCAGACGGTGTCACCCAGTCCGCCACGAGTGCCCCAGACGGTGTCCCCCAGTCCGCCACGACTGCCCCAAACGGTGTCACCCAGTCCCCCACGTCTGCCACAAACGGTGCCACCCGGTACCCTACAATCGGGAACTGTTTCACTAGGCCAAGTCACAACCAGCCCGCCACAGCTGCAGAATGTATCGCCCAGTCCGTCACAGGGGCAGAGTGTATCACCAAGTCCTGGAACAGTGTCCCCCGGCACCGCACACTCCGGAACAGAGTCATCCGGCACGCCGCCTGGTCAGGTGCTGGCGCAGACTCTGACAACCAGTCCGCCGCAGACGCACTTTGTGTCATCCAGTCCGTCACAGTCTGGAACCGTGTCGCCGGGCACCCCACAATCGGGAACAGATTCCCCACAGTCCCCCAGTCCGATATTTCCCTAAAAAGCTGAGCTGCCACAGCAGGAGCTCGCACCAGCTGCTACTTCCATCAACAGAAAGATAGATTAGGATCAGGAGAGCAGGAGAGCAGGAGACTTCATGTTTAAATTATGTAAGATTATGTGAGTGATTTTTAAGCGTATTCCCCATTGTACAGTCGTCCAGCCTAGATAGATAGCATAAGATGGAAAGTATTAGTCATGTATGTGTGTTTTTAACAAAATTAATTTTTTAAATTTGCCAACCAATAAAACAAAAATCTCCTCAGAGAAACGAAACATCTTGATAGATTTGTACTCTAGTATATATTATTTGTTTGCTAAAATGAATTAATCAATCAATTACGTTTCGCGTAACAGTTTACATAATAAGTTGAAACAATTGTTGGCCATTTGTGTGCGACCCCATCAAATGCCAATATCTATATATAAATATATATATGTATATATCCTCCAATTGCCAAAAGATTTCATGATATATGCGCTCTATAAATTGTGTATGATAAACATACGAATAAGAACAAGGACAAAACAGAAAGGGAGGCTCAAGCGGCGTCCCAGAAGAGATGGAAATACTCCCCCTGCAGATCGTATCTATCTATCTATCGTTTACTTATACATATATGTATATGTATATATTTATGTATATGCCATGTGTACTATATTCATAAATTTGGATTGGTTTCTAAGATTTAACTACAATTTGTTTGATTGCTTTTGTCTTTTTCAAAAATACGAACAAGTTAAGGCAGCTGCTATTTGTATATTGGCGTGATATGATCCTGATCCTGAATCTGAATCTGAAGCCTACCGCTCTAGTTCTCAAAGCAGACAGACATATGGCGGACGTGTGGCTATTAATGAATTGAATGATTGATAATTGGATATAAGATCCATCATATAGAAAGTGCAGCAAGTGCTTCCCCAGAGAGCGATCTGAAATCAGTACAACAAATTCTACGGCTAATCCTCTCTCTCTCTCTCTCTTTCTCTCTGCAAGGGCTGTAAAAGCCACATCATCATCTCACTATAATGAGAATTAGAACTAGAATTATCCCATGCATCACTCTTTCCAGAGCTTCATTGATTGTCCATCATCCGACGACAGCCGCTGTTACCGCGACCACCGTGGCCTCTGGCTATTGCGCATTGTAGTGCGGTCCTGGCGTCGGCACCGACTTCAATGGCGAATCAAAGTCGGCTGGCGGTGCCTCCACCACCGGTGTCTCTGGCGTGCCCGCAATTCGATCCGTCAGCGTTTCGTACAGCTTGTGCACATGCTCATTGTGGGCCGTCGTCGGCTGCATGGCCTTCATCAGTGTGCCCAAACGGCAGGAGGGCAATTTGTTGTGGACATACCACAGCAGCTTCAGCATGTGGCGCGAGGTGACATTCTCGCGCGTGAGACCCGCAAAGATGAACTCATCGAAGAGGGTGGTGCAAAAGTCCTCGGTGGAGAACTCATCGCTCATCGGAATGAGCAGAGCGATCTACAAAAACGAGTGAACGATGATCGATTAGCATTCTTCCAATGTAATGTTGGATGAGTGCCATTATGCTCACCAGGGAGTGAAGGAAGGGATCCTCGTAGGCGCGATGATCCTTGCAGGCGGAGAGTATGGCCAGGACGCGCAGCACACCCACACGATCCTTGAGGCGGGCCGTGTGCAGGGTATAGTACATGGCCAGAATGCTGGATACTGCGCTCTCCTGAATGTACGCCTCTACGGCATCCGGCGCCGGCCCCGAATGCTCAATGATTGTCAATGCCGACTCGCGCTCATCCGGAGGCAGTTTCCCGTGCAGGCTGCGGCACTGATCGTCCACCATGAGCGACATGAGGGCGGGCAGAAACTTGGTGACCACCTGGCAGTCCAGCTTCGGCTCCTTAAAGTCCTGCGAGTCGATCATCACCCAGGCACTGAGGCCCAGGGCCAGCATCCGCAGTAAGAGTATCAGAATTTGATTGTCCCGTGGCATGCCTTCGTTGTTGATCAGATGGTGCAAGATCTTGATGGCCGAGGTGGCCAGAAAGTTGATGGCATAGGGATCGCAGAGGGTCATCGATAGGTCGCCCAGCACCTGCTCCTGGCCGCGCTTAATGTTGTCGAGGAATCCCTGCAGCTCGCGCGATCTCTTGATGTCCACATTCTTCTCACGGATGCAGGCGTCCAGGCACCACGTGAACTTGTGACATGGATCAATCGAGATGATCTCCTGCACCTCCAGGTCGTGCAGGGCCATCAGCAGTTCGGCGCGCAGCGTGCAATAGTGAACATTGCGGGTGCGCAGGAAGAGCGTGCGAAGGAACTGCAGCACCATGTCGTACAGCTTCACGCTTGTTCCGATCATGTTGGCCAGCTTCTGCACCACCTCGCCCTGCCTGCGCACCTTGGGCGTAGGATGGAAAAACAAGTTATTGAGGTTCGTGTGGTCGAACAGGATGTGCTCCTTCTCCCTGATGTACTGCGAGAGCAGGGGCGAGACCTCGTCGCCAAACAGCGACTGATTGTCCCGCCAGATCTGGCGCTTCACCTCCGTGTCCGTGTCGGCGTACAGCTCCCGATCGCGCACCAGAATCTTGAGGTACTTGTCATCGATGTGCTGGGTGTTCCTTAAGATGGCCATTACTACCGGACGCAGCGACTTGACCCGCACGACGGGAAAGCTCTTGACCAGTAGTTCCTTCAGCTTCTTGTCCCGCTCCCGGGGCTCCTTCTGGCCCAGCTCGTTGATGTGGGCAATCAGCTTGTCGCGCAGCTCCTCCATCAGGGACGTGTGGAAATCCAGACGCCGCACTCCATGGAGGTCGAGCAGCGGCAGCATGGGGCGTAACGACGGCAACAGCACCCCATTCTCCAGCTGCAATAAAGCGAGACAGGTGCATCAGCGATTTTTCGCGCTCATTTTGCAACGTAAACAAACCTGAAAACTCTCAATTGCCTTCAGCGGGTCCGTGCAGGAGGTGAGGGCCTCGCGCAAATACGCCTGGCCCGGTATATTAACGTCCTCGAGTCCCGTGCCATTATTTTTAGCGGGAGTGCTCATTCTAATAAATTAAACACCTTTCTATGCGGCAAATTTAATATTCAGTTTTTTTTTTTAGAACAAACAATTGTAGAGCAGCATTGGGGTGTGCTATCGGCAGCCGGCCAGGGCATTTTTGGATAACGATTGTTTTCGATTAGTATCGGCTGCGTGGATTGCATGAATTTGCAGTTTTATCAATAAATTGCTGCTGAATAACATAAGACAATTCGGGGAAAATGGTAGAAAAGTGGTTTATAATAATGTAGATTAGTTTATATACGACTGGCAACAACTATCGTGGCCAGTACCAGGTACGCTACCTGGAATTTGTTCCATCCCTAGCGTACTGTCGTTGTCCTAAAGTTCAATTGCCAATTAAATTTGGAATGAAATTAAAAAAGTGATTGTTTGTATATGATAATAATGTTTCTTTGCTGGCATGTCTTTAGAGAATCAGATTGGCATGGCGCTGCCACAAAGAGCCAAGATCTGCTTATCTCCAGGCGGTGACTGTGGAGGTAAAAATATCCGCGATAAGTAACAGGTACGCCAATGCCAATAAAGTCCATCACTAGGCTGTATTAGCCAGAAGAGAGGTAAAAAAGCATCAAGTGCAGTCAATTTGGAGTTTAGATAATCTACTTATTATGTGCCCCAGCGTCAGCTTCCGTAGCTGGAGACATAGCTAGAAGACGGCTCCGTTTACTTCCGGCTACCACTACGATTACGTCGTAGTCGTGTTCCGTGTGGCAAGCGCGCACCTACGCGCCATTTGTGTGTGCGTTAGTGTTGGTGCTGGTGTGCGACCTCGCCAATAAGCAGACGAGCCAACAAAAGTCTGGAACCACACCGCAATCTGTGGAAAACAATAACATTGCTGGCAAGTTCTGAAAAGCAAAAAGCCGTTTGCTTCGAAACGATTGCGGGGAAAGGTAAATGTGACTACTGGAGCGGGGGCAGCACTAGAAGTCGACCACACAAAAACAACATGTCGTCCACATCAGAGCGGAAACGATACCACAAGGACAACGCGCCCACCGACGACATTCTGACGCTAATCAATCTGGTGCGTCAGAATCCGGCACTCTACAACTACAAACTCCAGCCGAATCAGCGGCGACGGTCGGACATCTTGAGCGGATGGCAGGAGGTGGCCCAAAAGATTGGTGGTGAGTACAAACAATGCTTCATTTTTCTGTGTTGCCTACGTTTTGAGTTATATTATGTTGTTGATCCTCCCTCTCGTTGTACGCTCTGCCAGATAAATACACTGTGCCGGAGGTGAGACGAAAGTGGAAGAACCTTAGGGATACATACCATCAGTATCGGCTACGTACACCCAAGTGCATAGAGGGGCGTCTCTCCAAGTGGCGGTATGCCAAGGAGTTGGATTTCCTATCGACCGTGTACCAGCCGAAGCTGAAGTCGCATCGCACCCAAAACAACTATGAGGCGAGCAGTGCCACAAGCACAACGCTGCCCATCGGTTCCATGCTGCATCTAAAGGACCAAGGCGACGACGACGACGATGTGGACGATGATGGTCAGTCGGATACGGGAATGTCATCGCATCATGATGCCCAGATCACATTGGTTGGCGACGAGACGGAAACATTCATACTGACAGCCTATGAGGAGGGCGTCTCGGACGACACAGTGTCCCAGCATCATGAGCACCATCATCACCAGCATCATCATCACCAGCAGCAGCATCATCATCACCATCATCATCAGTCGCAGCACGATGGCAGCATTTCCAGCATTGAACTGTCCCAGATCGCCCACGATGACGATGTTGTCGACGATGTGGACGACGACGATGATGTGGATCACGATGGCCATGTGGTGGATATTGTCAAGCACGAGATGGACGAAGATGGGGCTACCGGCAACGAGGTAGACTACGAGGAGGTTTGCCTGTACGAGGAGGCCAGTGGGGCACATGTCGATTGCGAGATGGGCGTCAGCGACGGCGTGGACGGCAGCAACGATGTGACCCACAGCAAGAGCTTCCACTACATTGATGCCCATGACTTTTGCATATCGGACATTGAGCCGCAACCGCATCAGCAATCCGTGGTTGCTGTCCGATCCCACCATCATCATCAGTATACAGGCAGCTGTGTGAATGGGCCGCCCACCAATAGCGTCCTCGGCGGCGGCACCGTTGTGTCCGACGGCAAGCTTAAGAATCTCACGCTGGTCACCACCACAGCAGCAGCTACAGGCGGATCGAGCCGGCACGAGCAGACCATTTCCACACAGCAAATCTCTTTGGTGGATGTCACAGAGGCAACCAGCACGAGCGTAACCATTTCCAGCACACCGGCGGTGTCGCTAAATGCCGCAGCGGTCACCACCTCGCCGGCAGCGTCATCGGCGCTGTGCAACACCACATCGTTTACCACGCCCACAGCCACCATTCTCCAGCTGCCGCCGCTCACGTGCGGGGGACCCGGTCTTGGCGGCGCTGGCGGGAACGGTGGTGGCGGCGGCGGTGGACCTGCAAATGCGACTGGAAACGGACCCTGCCCACCGTTGGCCATCAGTGCGGCCAGCAGCAGCACTCTGATCAAGGAGGAGGATCAGCATGGCAATGCCTATCATGTGGCCCAGGCGCTGGCCAAGCGAGACGAGTTGGATCTGTTCTTTGATTTCCTTAAGAAGAAGATGCAGTGCTTCTCCAAGACCCAGGTGACGCACATACAGATGGAGTTCTTGAATTGTGTGGGCCGCCAGGAGGCGGCCGAACAGGATATCAAAGACTAAGCAACCAGATAGATTACCACATCCAACCCCCCCCCTCTTGCTAATAGTTGTACTCCAGTAGTAGTTGCTTAGTTTTAATCATTGTGTATAGGCTTAGGATCGTACCGTTTACCAGTTTGCAAGTTTTTGCCAAAGCTCTGTGGATCTACACAGGGTTCTATCTAGTTTTTCTTCATTTTAGCTTTAGAAAATCCCACAAAAACAAACCCACAAACACACATACTCTATGTACCCCAAATATATATATATACACACATATATATATATATATATATATATATATATACATATGTATAACAAAAAGCGTTATATATAACCCAATTGTAATTTGAATGTAATTGTAAAATAAACCGATTTGATTCTCGATTTAAGACTGAAAGGATTTACTGTCCAAAGAAGTGTGAAACAAACTTAAACGCAAACACTTAGCCTAGGGATTAGCTATAGGCTATAGGCTTCAGCCTTTGGGCTTTAGGCTTTTAGTTGGGCCACAGAAACAGAGAGAGAGTGGCGGCGGGTACCGGCCGGTACAGGTAATAAATATACATACACACAAGCGGAGCGGAAAGAAAACAAGTCTGTAAGGGGGATCACGCTGCCGGCGCACTGATCCCAGTACCGGCATCTCTGAGCCGGGCTATGTGTTCCGTGTTGAAATAAATGACAGTGATTGTGATATCATCGCGATACAGACGCACCACATCCTTGGGCAGCGACAGGTAATACGAGATCTTCGAGTGCTCAATCCCATAATCGGTGGCACCCAGTGCATTCCGGATCAGATGTGTGGCAGCATTCTGATCGATCGGCTTACGTGTAAGACCAGCTCTGCAAATGAGGAAAGAACGAATCAAGGGATTCGAATTTAGTTATTTTAGAATAACAAATGGACCAATGGAGCAACCGGACTCACTTGCGTTCGGCCAGCTGATCGGAGATTTGCTGGAGCGTGGGATTGCCCTCGGGCAGTCGCATTGGCTCCAGTATTTTCTTCGAGTTGATGTGCTCTCCCACGAGGCTGACCACCTCGCTGGGCGAGAGAAAGTCCCACAGGCCATCGCTGGCTATGACTAGAAACTTATCGTTGACGCTCAGCTCGTGCTGTTGAACATCGGGCTGGGCGGTCAGGTACGGCGGCGTATAATAGTTGGGTGCCATCGCCTGCTCCCCGATCAGGGGCACCACCTTCTTCTGCATGATGTCCAGGGACCATTTGTAGCGATAGTCGCCAAAGGCGCGCAGCGGCGCCAGCTGGCTAAGCAGCCGGCCATTACGTATGGCCGTGTCGTGCTCTTCCTTGGGGTGCTCGTCGAGAATGCGCTTCACCTCGGCCATATTGTCAGCATTGTGTTCGATGTTGAGTTTCTTTGGTTGCCATTGATTCGTCTGGGGATCGAGGACGCCCAGAACGGCGCCACAGTCCCCAGTGCTGGCCACATGCAGTTGCAGTCCCTCCAAATGGACCAGACACGCCACGGCACCTAAACAAATTAATCTCAATTATCAATATTTCAGGAAGCTCAACCGGCAGGCAGGCGGCTTACCCGACAGCGCCACACCCATGGTGCGCACATCGATGGTGGCCAGCGCCTCGTGCGACAGTGCCTCGTCCAGTTGGAGAAAGGCATGCACCAGTTCACTGCTCACGTCCCGCTGCGGTGTCTGGGAGAGTTGTTTGATGTACTTCTGGAAGCTGTGCTCATAGATGGGCTTGATCTCGTTGACGAAGTCCACGTTGTCGTTATGACACTTGAGGAAGGACTGGCTGTTGCAGTTCTGCTTGATGTGCTCCTTGAGCACCTGGCGGGGCAGCGTGGCCGCAGAGACATAGCGCAGGAGACGCTTGGAGACAACCTGGCCGCAGGCGGCGCCGCCATGCCCGTCGAATATGCCACAAATGAAGCCATTTCTGTGAAGCAGACTGGCCTCGGTGCGGGAGTCCTCGCATGGGGAATTGGAGCCCAACTGGTTCGTCTCGTAGCTGCGCACAATCCCATCCACGGGGAAGTTGTACACAAATTCGTTCTCCCGCAGCTGCAGATTCACCTGCAAACAACAAAACACACACACACACACACACAGAAATTTTAACACATGAACATGGACAGCCTCCCTTTTCCACCCACTTACATCGTAGGGACTCAGCTGAGGCAGGTGCGGCAGGAGACGTAGAGCGTTGAGGCTGAAGTCTCGCACATTGTTGCGCACACAGGTAGCGGCGTCGTTTAGCACAAACTTAAACATCTATGTAGGCGAGTGTCGGCACATATATGTAGGTGTGTATATGCTTAAATATATACACTGCTGCAGCTATAATTAACGGTAAACGGTAATAATATTGTTCGGTAACCTTGCGCAGCGCACACACGTTGAGTGTGTGTGGTGTTGGGGCGGAGACGGAGACGGAGAAGGAGACGGCGGATACGGAGTACGGACCGTACCCGGCAGCACGCTTTCTGGCTTAAATGCTGGCTATCTTTGGGGGCCTTTTTCCGACTGTCTTTGTGCGATTGTATTTCGTTACTGCAGCCGTTCCTTCGATATCGAACTTGTACATTTGTGTTGCGGCAACCAAGCAATTTGGACAAAAAACAAACGTAAAATTAATATAAATCGAGCAACTGTCAGTGTGACAGTTGGCAGGAGCTACCATATCAGCTGACCAGTGAGCATTAACAGCACGTTTTTTAGCAGTACGATTTACAATTTTAAGAATCTCTGGTTTAATCAATCATTTCATATGATTTTCTTATACAACAAAACAAAAAAAAAAACAATAAGTTAGGAAGATAGTACATGAGATAAGTGTAAATTAGCCATTGTTTGGGTAATTTGTATTGCGCCTAACAGCACCTTTATTGGAGTGCACTCTAAATGCTTCCACACTCTGGCAACCCTTCGCTTTATCACACACTCACACAGTCACAGTTTTTGTTAGAAAAAACAAAACAAAGTCAGGGCAGCTGAATATTTTGTAGTATATTTATAATTGGCGACTAACCTGAGCACCGAAACGTTAAGTTAGTTATAAATAATACAAGTGTGCACCAGTAGCCGTGCAGTCATCCAGTTCCGCAAAGAGCATGGGCTGGCCTAACCACTGACCGAACAACAAAATAACAAGGACGACATATAATTTGCGTCTTAGCCGAAGATTAGAAAACACCAAAGGGGCCGTTGCACCAGTCAGTATGGTCGAGCCCATTTTCGAGTATCAATTCCGCCTGATACTCATTGGCGATAGTACAGTGGGCAAGAGTTCGCTGCTTAAATTCTTTACAGATGGAAAATTTGCCGAGGTTCGTATTCCTAGATGTGTCCCAGTCCCATGTCCAATGTCTCCCTTGTGTGCGTTTACGGTGTGTGTGTACGTATGTGTGTCAAGTGCGATCGTTGAACAGATGCATTTAAAACGTTTTCTTACATAATTCAATGATTATTTCGCAAAAAAAAAGACAAAGGCTGGTTCTCAGGCTCAGATGCTGCCTCATGAGTGTGCGTGTGGGTGTGGGTGTGTGTGAGAGCTCGCCTGATAATGAAAGGCAACAACAACGCTGTACAGGACCAGGGCTGCCATACCATGCACAATCGTTTGCCCGCTCAGTTTAAAAATGTTGTCTAAAAATGTTTTTGACCTTTTTCCTCTGCAGCTCTCGGATCCGACAGTGGGCGTGGACTTCTTTGCCCGCCTCATCGAGATGAAGGATGGGACACAAATCAAACTACAGTTGTGGGACACTGCCGGACAGGAGCGCTTCCGCTCCATCACAAAATCCTACTATCGCAATTCAGTCGGCGTTCTGCTCGTGTATGATATCTCGAATCATGCCAGCTTTGAGCATATACCCCTGTGGATGATGGAGGCCCAGCGCCACATCGAGCCGCACCGACCCGTCTTCGCGCTGGTTGGCTGCAAGCTGGACCTCATCAATGCGGGCGGCCACCGCGAAGTGTCCACAGAGGAGGCACAGACGTTTGCCAAACAGCATGGCCTGCATTTCGTTGAGACTTCCGCGCGCACCGGAGCTAATGTGGAGGAGGCCTTCCGCATGGTCACCCAGGAGGTGTACGCCCGCATCCGCTCCGGCGAGTACAAGGCGGAGGACGGTTGGGACGGCATCAAGGCCGGCTTCGCGACGCCCAACAGTCTCGACTTCAATCTCGTTGTGGCCGAGCCGGAGAAGTCCTCATGTTGTTGATTCGTTTTTTGGGTCCGTTTTGATTGTTTTGTTTGTCTACCCAGCGCTAGGTTTTTTTTTTGTGTTTTCTATAGTTTTCCCTTTCTCTTGTAAATTTGTTTTTTGTCGAATTCTTTTGTATGGGCCCTGTCCATCCTTCAAAACCGTAGGCACTCTTAAAACCATCTAATTTAGCTGAAAAACCAAATCACTAATTCGTTACATTAATACAAAACTATTTTTAGTTTCGTTTTTAAGCAAATCGCATAATTGGGTTTTTCTTTGGTAACCCCGACACCGACCCCGACCCCCTGGTACTGGTAGAACTATTTTGTGAGCCCTTAAATCAATAACATCGGATCCAAGTCATTCGGAAAAAGGGTCTGTTCAGCTTTACACATACATAGCAGAGTTTCTGTGCTCCAAAATCATACCAGACATAGGCTCTATATACACGAAATACGAAAGAAAAGCTATACATAATATACTTGAACTTGAAATATAAACGTTTTTATTAATATTCTATTTCTTGGCTTACAATTTTTTACTCGATATTGTACGCACTATATAGCTTACAGGATAAAATATCTGTATGGGTACCATTGGGTACCCATATTTGCAAATGGAATGGAATGGAAGGCACACCATATGATAGTGTTTTTATAGAAGAGAATTTGCAAGATCAAAATTGCGACTTCTATGAATTAATCAGGATTGAATTTGATTGGATTTGGAATAGTGGTTTGATTTCGGTTATTTGATTCTTGTTGTAGGTCTCAGAAAGATATACACTCCAATGCTCATCTTTTTATCATTTATCAGTGGAGGATTGTGTGGGTGTGGGGGGTTTCTTATAGACAAGGACAGTAGTAGATTAACAGCAGATTTATTGGTCTATAATGTGCGGCTGTTTCCGTGATTTTTAAAAGTTTTCTCAGCGTATATGAGCAGATGAAAACAGGGATGGTATTCGAATCGAATCGATAGATTTTCGACGATGATATATCGCAACAAATTACGTACCAATATTATCAACAAATAATATATATCGATACATTATATAAACATTTAACATCTCTAACTTTCTGGCATATCGCGCGTGTTGCTTAAAAATATTTTTAACAATTTTTTTGCATTAAAATAAAAATTAAAAAAAATGGGCAACGTGCTAGCGGCATCCTCAGGCAAAAGCAACAGCGTGTCTGCCGGTCTGAGTCTCCCCGAGCCGGTGGTTGCACCCACACAAACATCGGTATCGAGCGACCCCACCGACACTGCCGGGAAGGATATTTTTCTGGAGAATCCCGGAACCGTAGAGGAACTGCACAAAAAATGCAAAGGTAAACGAATCGCAGTCGATCAACTACATAATGTGCGCATTTTCATAGACCAAAGTCGAGGCGGTTAGAAAAAACCCTCAGCTGTCTGATGACATAACCTACAACATGTGAGCGGGGGACCGCGGTGCGTGCGTATGTGTGTGTGTGTGCGTGTGTGCTGTTGTCTTTGATTATGCATTATCAGGCCATTGTTCATTCAACTAACCAATTCCCTTCTCCTTTCTCCTCTCCTGTGGTGACCGATCCACACCGGCAGATATACAGGCCGTAACCTTCGAGGGAGCCAAAATCATGCTGAACAAGGGACTCAGCAATCACTTCCAGGTCTCGCACACCATCAACATGAGCAACACGGTGCCGAGCGGCTACCGCTTCGGCGCCACCTACGTGGGCACCAAGCAGTTTAGCCCCACCGAGGCATTCCCAGTGCTCCTAGGCGACATTGATCCATCCGGCAATCTGAATGCCAATGTCATTCACCAGTTCTCGCCGCGCGTTCGCTGCAAGTTTGCCTCGCAGGTAAGTCTTTAGAGTAGGTTAATGCGCTGGAATTTAGCAGAATCAGTCTCTTATGCATTTGGAATGTTACAGGTCCAGGACTCGAAAATGGTGGCCTCACAGTTGACAACTGATTATCGTGGCGACGACTTCACGGGCTCGCTCACCGTGGCCAATCCAAATATTTTCAACAACTCTGGCGTAATCGTTGGCCAGTATTTGCAGTCGGTGACTCCAACCATTGCCTTGGGCGCCGAGATAGCTTATCAGTATGGGCCGAATGTGCCCGGACGCCAGATTGCCCTTGTTTCAGCCCTGGGCCGCTACACAAGCGGCAACACGACGTGGTCCGGCACTTTGGGACTGAGTGGATTGCATCTGTGCTTCTACCAGAAGGCCAGTGAACAGCTACAGATTGGTGCCGAGGTCGAAACTAGCCTGCGCATGCAAGAGTCGGTCGCCACTGTAGCCTATCAGATTGATTTGCCCAAGGCTGATTTGGTCTTCCGAGGTAAGTCTTGCAATATATCCTTCCGATATTCGGATGGACAGCATGCAATAATTGTTTGGTGCATTTCCTTGTAGGCTCTATTGACACCAACTGGCACATTTCGGGGGTGCTGGAGAAGCGTCTGCAGCCATTGCCATTCACGCTCTTATTGAGCGGCCGCATGAACCATGTGAAGAACAACTTTAGACTGGGCTGCGGGCTGATGATCGGTTAACCGGTAGCTGCAGCACCCGTTAACCAAATTTTAGCCACAGACCCCGCCCCCCGAACCACATTCACATTCACACATCCAGTCAAGTTTAGCACATCATTGCCCACCCGCCACCACCACAGACAATTCTTTTGATTAATTCGAAATGTACCTTGCGGCGTTTTTGTCTGCAACAATCTGCAATGTATCAAAAGACCGAAGAACAGAAGAATTTGTTTAAGCTTATGGGGATTAAGCCGCCGCAGACGCCGCTGACGCCGCTGACGCCGCCGACGCCGCTACCATCGTTTGCTTCGTTCTTCTAAAAGAGAGAGTTTTCAGTTAGGTATCTAGGAATATTCCACATTTCCACACATTTTAAAGCACACATCCAACAAAGAATTGTCGCTGTACATTTTAAGTTGCTTCCTAGAAGATGAAAAAGGAGAAGAAACGTACGCATTTATTTTGAACAATCAAACAGCCAGCAAACCAAGAACAACCACAAGACCACACACGCAAACACACACACATACACACAGAGAATATCAGAAACATCAATAGTTTTCAAAATCCGAAATGAAAAGAGTTAATAATAAATGCGTATTAAATGTATGTTACATTGTAAAATTGGTAACGAAACTGCTTTAAGTTTATAATTTATAAATTAACAATTAGTTATAATAACAAAAAACTTTGTTAAACCAACTTTTACCTTTGTGGCGCGCCTAGAAAGAGACAGACGCAGACGCAGACGCAGAGAAAGAGAGAAAAGGAAGAAAGAGACGTAACGTTAGCGCCAAAACGTTGTGAGGGAAAAAAAACCAAACAAAAAAACACTAATAAAAAAAACTCTACAAAAGAAAGTCCATTACTACATTTGTTAAAGATGGGAAATGGTTCAGTTACATTGTAATATAGCCGCTTCCCAAGCATTCAAATAAAGAAAGATACAGAGCAACAACAAGAATGTACTGCGAACAACAACAAATTAGGTTTTAGTAAAGACAAAAAAATAAACAATTTAAATACAATTTTTTTGTTGTCCTCTTAGACGGTTTAGCATACGCGTTAAATAGGCAATGGATCTCTCATTGACCATCAAAATCTGATCGTAAAATAAAATAGATTTCCCATATAATTAATGTTGAACAATTTACACGCCATAACACATTGGATGGAAAAAGGAAAAGACTTACCAGAAGGAGATGAGCGAGCGACCAGCGGGCTGTGTGATGGCGGTGCTGTGATACGCTACATCAGATAGTGATAGTAGATCACCAGGAAATTGTGGCCTGTTATAAAACATCAAGAAAAAAGCGACAGGATACCCGAAACTCACATATAAATGAATCAATCAGATCCAACAACTTGAGAGAGTAGCTGAAGGCTGCAGCACGGAGATCAGTAGCAAGAGCGATGGTCGGATGTTGAAGAAGTAAGGATCGGTAAGTGACGAATAATTTGCCCAGAAGGCCCAGAAATCCATCTCTGAGCTAGTATAGGCCTATCGTACACTTTTGTGCCGAGAAGCTACAAAACTGTGTTTGCCCATGTTCCTCAAACTGTGACGTCCAAGAGCTGCTACAACTGTGAATTTATTTACTGCAACTGTATTACTGTAGTAGGCACTAAAGCTGTAATTATAGCAGCTGCTCCGTGTTTGGCTGCTCAAACTGTACTGCGTAGCGTAGCACAGTTACCCTAAAACTGTTATTACTGAATAAACCTTAATTTGGGCCATTTCGTGTAGCCTTTAAGACTTTTCCCACAAACTTGACCAACATTTTGGCTCCATTTTCCGTCCATTGGCAGCACATGTTGTGGACAAGAACAGCAGCAACAACCACAAAAAGTAAATTGTGTTGCCATATTCTCATTTGCAGGGCAAAAGTCAGAAAGTGTGCGAACAGCCATGGAGGCCAGGTGGAATTCCGAGCGACTATTTGATACCCAACATGCTATCGCCGATTGGAATGGAGCGCCTGGAATGGAGTTTTGACGACACTGTGTGATAGCAACAAGCCGATTTGATTTTCCTGGGACAACAGATGCTAAGAGTTCGACAGAAAAAACGATTTGCGATGACGATAGGCAATGCTGCTGCAGCTGCCTCAGCGCAGATCTACCCTGGTATACCCTGTAAGTAGATATGACAAAAACTCCAACGACAAAATGTATGCAAGCAAACTTTGTTCAATCAGCCAGAGGAGAGTGGATGTTGTTGCAGTCGCTTTGGAAGTGCAGCAGTCGCAATATTGTTTAGATAAGAAAATGTTGCCTGCCCCACACATCGACACACGCATACACATTGGAGCCGTCAGTGTGTGTGTGTGTGTGTGTGTGTGTGTGTACGCTTCCTGTCGGCCCTTCTCTGTCTATCAAATGCTTTTTGCTGTTCCACATTTTCTTTTCGGTCTTTGGTCTTTTTTCCTCGCTCTCTCCCGCCTCTCTCGCTCTCCTGTTTGCTGTTCCACCAAATGCAATTTGAACTTTGGCAAAAAGCGGCCGCTTTGCCATACACCCCTTACGCCCCACCACCGCTGCTTTCCTCCTCCAGGGGCATGCCCTGCCAAACCATTTCAGCGATAAGCAGGATGGCGAAGCGAGGCGACTTTCATACTAGTATTTTGGGAAATTTTCAGCATTTCCTCTGCTTCTTTTCCTCGGACTCTTACGAGTCTCTCTCTGCGTGTGTGTGTGTGCATTATGTAACCCGCGAAAGCTGTTTTCCAATTCAATTGGTCCAACCAGACGGAGCTGCAGAAGCAGCAGCAGAGGCAGGCGCTTCACTCATGGCTAAGACAAAGGAAATCTGTGTCAGAAGAACAAGAAAAACTCATTAACATATAAAGTAGCCGCCACAATCTCGGTGAAGGGGGCAGAAAAATCGGGTAACTAATTAAAGAATAAGAAAAAGCCAAGAGGGTCGAGTCCTCAGATACCCTTGTAGACCAGTCGCTCCTTTGAGTGCTATACAATTTTGATGATACAAAATACCAAAGAAGATAAGAAATTTCTGCAGGAGCAAAAAGGCCTATTGTGGTGCCGATGCCCTTTTAGCATATACTGTATCCTGTATGAAATAGAACATACAGAACTAGACACAACACTGCAAAGACAAAACCCTTAATGCTGATAGTTTGTAAATAGTGTAAATAGTGTCTTCTTTGTATCGATATACCCTCCGTAAGCGTATCACAAGCAATGCGAAGTCCTGCCCAAAGGCTGGGGAATGTCTCATAAAGCAGGGCGCGTCAAGGGCTTCCAGTAGCGGGCAGCCTAAGTGCTTGCAAAACTGTAAAAAGCGCAATAAGCATTTCAAATATGTTTCTCCTTAACCTCCAGCTCCTTAGAAAGGGCTTAGGAAAGTAATTAGCAGCTATTCCTTCCCCTATCTAATCTTACGAGTTCGCGGCGACACTTAAGCTACAAAGTCATTTCATTTTAATAGTATAGAGGGGCACTGTGTCCCTAGGACACACAAATCTGTATCCTCGATCATCTGAAACCATCTGCCCAGATAATATCTGAATGTGCTCAAGCCATATATAGTATCTGGGACAAAATGAAGCTAACTGTAGTCGAGTTTATTGGTCCTTCTTCTCTTCTGTGTCCATCACGGACAGCGATGCCAGCGATGTCTAAGTACGAAAAAAATTAGTTAAATTAATGAGCTTTAAGTCGGTACAAGAAAACAACAAGAACAACAAGCAAGTGCATAAGCAATTGTGTTTCGCCAGTAACTCAACGTAACTCCAATGCTGCTGCAAGCGAGTGCCGGGAGAGTGGAGAGAGCGCTGTTGTATGCTCGGCATATTTACGCCAACTTTAGTTATTTGAATTACGTGACTTCAGCAACAGTTCTATGACTGAGACAGGCACACACCATATACACCACCCACTCGTACTCGCAATCGCACTGGCACTGGCACCGGCACTGGCACCGGCACTGGCACTCGTCCACCCACTTATACACGGGGCACACAGAGAGCTCGAACTTTGTGCAATTTTTTAAGCACACATAGAGCAGCATGCGTATTACTTACTTTACTTCACAGACTATCTACCAGTCCGTTGATTACAAATGCACGAGAGGAAAATGCTAGGGCAGCCATGGGATGTGTGCCAGTGCCAGCGAACGGTGGGTACAGGTTCGCAAACACAAAGAAAATGATGCTCTATACAGCGATGTGGGGAAAGAGGTAGAGACCAAAAAAAGGGACATTGAAAGGGGATTTTCTTTCTGTTAGCTAACTTCTAAATAGAACACCTGAAAAACTTGTAAATTTATAAGTATAAGCCATTGGTCTTCATTAGGTGTCTTCTTTTAAATATTTCAGGGGATCATTATGAGTATATGCCTCAGAAGTTTGCACAATTTCCGGCTCTATGAAGAATATACCTACACATATTCTGATGGGCGTCGAATGCCGATTCCATTTAATATATATTATGTAGTATGTATGTATCTCTATTATATAAACAAGTTTGGATCGTCGTCGTGGCCAGATTTTTTACTTGCATAGGCGCTAGAGAGCGAAGCGAGTGAGCCGAGGGCTGGCGCCATATATTCAACAATTTAATAAGAACAAATCTTCGAATTTTCGAAACAATCATTTAAAAGCTGTAATTTAGTCAAATTTTGAGAATCTTGAAGATCTTTGGTTCGGAGAACGGGTATCAAAAGATTCGGCACTGTAATATGTGTACCTTTCTTTTTGTTTATGCTTTCTCTTGAGTTGTTGTTGCTATTGCTATTTTTGGCTTTGAGTTTTTAGCCTTAAGCCAAATAAGTGTTTTAGCCGTCATCCAAGAGATAGAAGAAGGACACAGGCAGTGGGGCAACGGCAGGGGGAGCGGCAGGGTCTCTGCCTTGGGGTGGTGTGTAGGGCGTTGTGCAGGCAAAGACATGGACTTTGGCGTCGACGTAAACGTTGTTGCAGCAGCCGGAAGTTGCCACGACAGCTGCAGGAAACTCTAACTCACTTACACAAACAGCCAAAGCGCACACCTTCACCTCATATGTGTGTGTGTGTTTGTGTGTGTGGGTCGGGGGCGGGTGCCCAAGAGGAGTATCTATGTGTGTGTCTGGCCACGTTTGTGTCTGTGAATTGTTGAAAGTTAGCAATAGATTTTTAACGGAAGTTGCACATGTGCGCACGTGTTCTTCCCAAAAATGTTCTTCCCCACACAATTCATTCGTCTTCTTCTTCGTCGTCTTCTGGCCCATACCCCTTCCCCTGAGCTGAAATTTTCGGCTTAACTCTTGGCACGTTGTAATTAAGGCTTTCATGTGTGTGTGTGAGTGTGTGGAGGGGGGGGGGGCGTGGCACATCATCATCATTCAAGCGCAGCTAGATTAGACCAACCGATTATTGCCTGCCTGGTGCTTCTTCTTGGCCACCATGCCCCCTCTGTAGCCACCATCTGTAGCCTCTGCACTCCGGACCAAATGCCCCCTTTTGCCCCTTTGCCCGTTGGCACATCTTCATCTTCTTGGAACCCCTAATTTTGCCTCAAATCCAGCTCGAGCCCTCTCTTCCCAGGCATTGCGTGTGCGCGTCTACTTAACGAGAATTTATATCTCGACTGCCGCTGACATATTTACCACTTTAACACTCCCTCCCAACTGCCGAAACCGTAACCCCCCCCGCCGCCATTGGGGGCCAATTATGAGCCACGAATGAGAACATTTTTCGTGGCGTAACTATGGTTTTCTTTTTCGGATTTCCACTTCCATTGCCATTACCATTCCCGAGGTCTGCCATTGTCAGTGCTCGGTGTAATTTAATGGAAAAATCGCTGAAGATCCTCCAAGCAAGTCGGCGTGTAATGCATAATGAATGGGGGGCTAGATGCCATCTCTGCATTGCTCATACGCCTATTTGTCATTCGGTAAACGGAAGTCAGAACCCCTGCTTCTGGGTTCCTGGGAGCGGGAGGCGTGGCTGCCGGGTCTTGGATGTTGGCTGTCTGCTGTCTGCTGCCTGTGTCACGCATGGTTTGGCCAGGACGACGCTGCTCTGGCAGCGGCTCCGATTACCATTTGTGCCTCAATTACTTCATAAACCTGACAGCGACAGGTGCCACCTGGGGTCAGTCAAGGGCCAACAGCATCAGTAGCCGTTGACATCGTTCTTTTTCTTCTTCGGTCTATACCCTGTGATCGTAGAGTATAATATTAAGAGATCCAAAAAGAAGCATTTTCCACCGCTTAAAGCGGACACAACTGAATAAAACGAGCGCAGCTTTTTGCACTCATGAACAGTGGCGATAGTGTCAATAATTATTTACACAAGCATTTCCCATATATTGTATGTGTTATGTTTCTGTTTCAATTCAAAAAAAATCCTCTAAGCACTGGGTATCTTATAGTTGTATGGAACTTCGAGTACGAGCTTTAGTACGAGCAGTGTATTTGAGATGTCCTGCCAGCATTGTTTGCCCCAAGAATTTATTATTATTTTGCATGTTTCTCCGCTGGGGCGCTTGCAACGGCAGCAGTCAGGTAATAAACCACCGAAAGGGGAAGGCTTCTAAGTATAGTATACTTGCACAATGCGTTTTGCATTGGCAAATTGCTGCAGTGGCAGCGGGGATGTATCTGCAGGTGTCTGTACTGTATCTGTATCTGTGGCTGTGGACATCCAGTTCATAAATAAATGCTCATTGTGCACATTTGAGTCGTGGATTAGGTGGACAGGTGGAAGCATATTCTCTCAGTGATGTCCTATGAAACCCTAAGAATTAGCTTGATGGATGAGTTTTAAGCATTGAAATTTTATCTAATACAATGCCCCAATACATCACCAATACACCAGATAGAATTTGCTCGTATAATCTATACAATTATCGAAACCAAATCCATATTTCCAATATCAGCATATCCCTACGCCTTAACAAAAGAATTATTAAACATCCTCGATTGGAATCGTGAACGAACGAAAAATAGAGACACGCACAGAGGGGAGAAGAGAATAAAAAAGGACAGTTATGGAAGCTGTATCGAAATGGAATAAAAATATGTGCTACATCATAAATAAATGTTTATTGTGCTCAAACATTGATGCATGGAGGATGCGGTAATCGATTCGGCTGCCGGACTGGGGTCTGGCTTCCTCTCCTTCCCGATGCTGTTC